AAAGTACCCATAACCTTCAGACCAGTACACGCGCTCTCGCGGTATATGTTCGCAGGGCTCTCGATTTGGGTGGCCCGCAAACTGCGTTCGCATACAGCTTCGATGCGTTACATTGTCCGTGACGCTGCAGAAGCCGCTGAGCGATTAGGCGGTATGCTAGTCACCTCCACCTCGAAGTTCGCATGCATTGACGTAAAAGAGTTTTTCATGAGCGGGGACATCCACGAGCTGGCTGAGGATTGTACCATGCACTTGGATGGGGAGGCCCGCACGGTTACGCGTGAGGCAGTAACTATTTTGTTGGAGAACCAGTACGTCCGTAGTCCACATGTGGTTGGGCGATTCCGATGTGTAGTCGGAACTGGCATGGGACTCATACATAGTGGTGATGTCGCAGATTCCGCTCTTGTAAACATCATGGAATGCCATGTTGTTAGGAGGCGCATCATGAACTTGCACGCAATCATCACCTACATGAGGTTCAAGGATGACATCTTAATCATATACAATGACTTTGTCTTGTTCTATCAGTTGTTCTTTCACCTTATGGCGGATCGGTCGAAGTATTTCCGCCTCAAGCTGGAAGGAGCCAGCGACAAGACAGTCAGATGGTTACAGCTGGAGGTATGCAAGTGGCAGAACATCGTAGTGACGAAGCCGGCGTTTAAAGACTCCACTCTAGCAATCCCCTTGTCGTGTTCCAGCGCCCACCCTCCTCACATACATCGTACGTGGCCCATGGCCATGTGGCGTTCTCTCGAGGGTTTAGGTTTTAAGGGACACGGCAGGGGCATAGCACAGAATTTGATGATAGATCGCTTATCCAGGGCACCTATCTTGGAATCGGTTTTGCAGAGAATTCGCACGGCCAGCCTAGATTCTATGACCGCCCGAGGGCGGAGTGGTGGGGAGCAGGCGGAGCAGGGGCGATCCACGTCCTGGCTTGTGCTGCCTTTCCATCCTGAGTGGGCTGGAGCTGTAACCCAAGCGTTGTCAGCATTCTTGGGGGACAGCGTTTTTTCCGATGTTTTGGTTTCCAATGGTCTCCAAGATTTTGGAAGAGTCCGAGTGGCTTGGTCGAATTCCTTGCCATCCATGGCGGAGCTTGTAGCTTCGACCATAGAGTAATCTGCACAATTCGGTGGTTGGATGGGGTTTTGGAAGGTGGAACGTGGTAGTGGTTAAATCCATTGCCATTTCAGTTCAAGCGGAGAGCTGAGTCCATGTAAAGCCCAGTGCTCCTTGGCAAGGGGAGCCCGCTTTTTCTCTTTTTTCACGTGTCGAGTCGTCGTGACCCGTTTAGAAACAGGAAGTGCCCATTCTCTCGGAAGAGCGCCGGGCTGAGGGTGAACTCCTCGCGGGGGGCGCGCCGGGAGAGGCGGGGCGCGGCCTCCGCCCGGCGGCGCCGCCTCGCCCTCGCCGCCGCCGCACGGGTCGTCGCCGTCGTCGTCGCCGTCCGCGTCCTCGGCCTCGAGGTCTTCGTCGTCCTTGCCCTCGTCGTCATCGTCGTCGTCGTCGTCGTTATCGTCGTTATCGTCGTTATCGTCGTTATCGTCGTCGTCGTCGTCGTCGTCGTCGTCGTCGTCGTCGTCGTCGTCGTCGTTATCGTCGTCGTCGTCGTTATCGTCGTCGTTATAGCCGTCCTCGCCGCCGTCCTCGCCGCCGCTGCCCTCGGCGTCCTGTCGGAGAAGAGCGAGGTGGGGAAGTGAGAGGGAGAAGGCCTTCTTGGAAGGCGGCGGGGCTTCTCAGAAAGACCTCTGGCCTTCTGCGCGGTGTTCTGGGCCCCCACGATGCCATGACTTGTTCGTGACGTCAACCCCCAGAAATCTCGGCCCATTCCCTGGGACAAGTTTCCACCCCGAAGCGTTTTGTTGACGGCCCCATGGCCTGAAAGGGCTCCCAAAGGCTGGAAAAAAGTAAACAAATGCCCGTCGTGATTGTTTGATGACTCGAGGGGTCTGGGTCAGAACATTTATCACAAGGCCGGGGGACTGCCGGCCCTTCTGAGAGCCGGGGCCCGAAACGGACAAAAACGCCCGTTGTGAAACAATTGCAACGGCAGGATCTCAGGGAAGGCCTTCTCCTTCACACTTCCCCGGGCACTACGTGGCCCCGTGGGGCGCCCAACCTTCCCGCCCTCGGGGGGCGCCAGTTCCAGTGCGGCTGGGAAATGCATAGCCCGACGCGCCCCCGCGGGCGAATCGACGTTCCGGCCGCCCAGGGACGGCGGAGGACAACACAGGGAGCGCAACCTGCGTCGTCGGCGCCCCCGGCGCGGATGTCTTAGCAGTATCGAGGATCCGGGCCCGAAGGTTTGTGGACATTTATGGCCCTTTCCCTCTGGATGGCTGGCGTCCTGGGGCGTCGTCGTCGTCGTCGAGGAGTGAGAAGGTGGGGTAAGGAGGATAAGGAAGGGGAGGATATGGAGGGGACAAAGGAGGAGGGGAAAGATGAGGGGAAATGATGACTGATGAGGAAGGTAGGCCTGGAGGAAGATAAGGAGGAGGAAGAAAACAAGAAGAGAGGATGATACACATAATCATACGGAGGAGGGCGGATGAAGACAAACCGAACTCCAATAAACTCGTGTCTGCAAACCATCCGTGATCCGGGAACGCTGTGACATCGCTATATTGAAGCTGCGCTTGACCGCACGTGTTGAGGAAGAGAAGCTACGATCGTGTCGTGTCACGGAAGGCCTAGAGGCCCGACAGCAACACTGGTGCGAAACTTTCAACCTACTCCTTGCTCCAATGAAAAAATGTGTCAGCCGCTTTCTGGCGGCGGCAATATCGGTCTTGCTTGCGCCTATTCGGGGCAATCGCCCTCCCGTTCGGCAAGAGACCGAGCAACCACGACACCCAGAACTACGATACCCTGCTCAAATGTGTGTGGTCGCGGGGCGCCTTGCGCTGCCGCCGTCGGGGGCGACTGGAGGCACCCCAGGAAACCTGCATTCTGGGCCTCGCCGATGCTCTGCGCTGCTCTGATGAACGACCTGCGCTGGTGATGCCCGAGTCCACCTCCCACGGAGCTGGTGTGACGAAACCAGCTCTGTCTAGCAGACGGCCGGCACGGAAACGTGCCACGAACTTTCGCGGTGCCTAGACGTGCGGAATACTTGTGGCATCGGATGTCATGTTCTGTTCTGCCAGGTACGACCGGGGTCCTTGGATACGCAACTCTCTCTGCTCATCGGCAAGCTCATTCCGCACTCGGTTGCGTGCGCGTAAATATTTAAGACACGTTGTCGCTGCCCACAACGGTCGGTATGCAACAAGACGGACACGACGAACGCAATCGTGTACTGTGTGCAGGGCATGGGCCATATTAGTGGCGACGCTCTGGACACCAAAACGACGTTTCGACTACATGTTCAACATCTGCGCAAGTGCGTCTTCCATGGCGGCAGCGAAGACGGCAAGACCCCAGTGGATGCCCGGAGGAATTGTAGCCACAATGAGTTCGGTGTTTGCTTGCGCAGATGCAGTCGATGTCGAACGGTTCTGACACGACGGGGAAGCAAAACAACTATCGAAACATGCCCCTCCTGGGATAACAAATTACCCGATCTAATAAAAAGTATGTGATATCATCGAAGGCGCCGGCAGACGCTGGCAGACGCCAGAACAAATTCTCGCCTGGCCGACCAACGCTGCTGTTTCAACAGCAGCGAGATATCTGTCAAAACACAAATCGATGATGCTGTGGCCCTTGCGACAAGCGACTTGCCGCGTAGGCCGAATGGCGATCTGCTTCAATGGACCATCTACAGGGAAACTCTGGACTATGGGTGACACTATACGGTGAGGGCATTTGTTATCACTTCGCGGCCGAGGCCCTGCATGCATACAGTTTTCCACCACTACACACGGGGAGGCCACCGCGGCCAGGGGGCGGCGGAGGCGGGCCAGCCGAACGCGAGACTTGGGCCCCGCTCGCTCTACGCCGAGCCCCCCCTTCCGAAGAGATCCTCGAAGACCCAGCGGACCCGAGTTGAACTCAACGGGAAATCAAAAAATCAGGCGAGCCGCAAACGTGCACACTGACAGAGACAGGAGGCCTGGCTAGAGCAGACACGAGAGGACAAGCAACGCGCTTCAACGGCCTCAAAGCAACCCCATGGAAGCGGCGACACTCTTTATCCAAAGGTCAGCGGCCGAGCCCTGCTGATGGAACACGAACAGCTGCGTGACCGCGCCGACGGCCTCGACAGTGCCCATGGCCCGCAGGAGGCCCGAATGAGGCGTCGCTGAGGCGCAATGGCGCGCTGGCCTGCCGCTGGAGCACCTGCACGAGGTCGAAGAAAGCATGCCGCGCGCGAACATCTCCCTCGGCAGGTCTCGACAACGAGGCGGCGGGAACCTGCTCACCGCCTCTGACAGAGCCCGCGGCCCGCTCCAGTCCCGCGCCGCGGGGAGTGCAGACTCCCGAGGGCACGGGGGCCGGAGACCGTGCCACGTCGCGCTCGCGGGCGTTCGCAGCTGCTGTCCCCCTCGAAGACGCTGGAGAAGCCGAGACGCGTGGCGGTGCCGGATCCTCCCCCATGGGCGTCGAGTGCTGGACCTCCGCCGAGCCGCCCGCGGGCGCGCCACCAGCCGCCGCAGCGGCCCTCACGCCAGGGCCCCCAGCGCCAGCCGCATCGACGCGAGGACCCCCTTGATTTGCACCAGGCGGCGGGGCGGCGGCCGCACGAGGAGCCCGAGCCACTGCCTCGCCGAGCGCCTCCGCCAGCGCCGTACCTACAAGCGTAGGCCGGCACCCCCGGTGCTGCAGGGGGGCGAAGGCGCGGAGCAGCGACTGGGCTGCTCGCGCCTGCGCCCTCATGGCCTGAGCCCGGCGCTCGGCCGCCGAGCGCCGCGGGCGCGCTGGCACGCTGGCGGCGAGCCAGGGCGGGGCCGCCATCCTGCGCCGCGGAGGGGGGAAGCCGCGGAGGAAGGGAGGAGGCCCGCGGGGGGGCGGCAGCCGCGGGCCGCCTATAGCGCGGACTCGCAAGCCTCCGCGCCAGGCGGCGGCCAGAGCCGAGTTGGCGCTATGGTGAGGGCATTTTTTTTATCCTATCACCCTGGGGCTTATCATGCACAGACAAATTCAGACACCGTCCTACGGCCCCGCAAACAGAGCTTGCACTGGCCCGCAGCCCACCAGGACCAGACCCCGAAGCGCGGCAACCGTCACTCCGCGCTTTGCCCGACATCAGGCCTGGGGTCCGCCATCCTGGCCGCCCTGGCGGCCCTGCCTCGCTCCTGAGCCTCAGCAGCGCTGGCAAAGCCGAAGGAGCCCAGGGCTCCCTCGAGCCCTGGGCGAAACAGCCTCCCTGGGGCAGGCGGGGCGGGTGTCCGATCCCGCACCTCTGGGGGCTCCACGGCGGGGGCTCTGGAGCCTGCAGGGGCCACATGGTCCTCCATGCCCTCAGGGCCCGCGACCGTGCCGAGCGCCTCGGCCCACCTGGCACGGGTGGCCGCTGTGGGCCGAGCCAGCTGGTCGATCGGCTGCTTGGATTTCCCAGGCAAGAGCGACTTCGCGAAATCGTTTCGCGCCTGCGCCCTGGAGCCGTTTTTGGCCCTGGGGTCGTCAGCGCGCTGGGCCCCGCTGCAGGCCTTGGCTAGGCCCCTGTGGCAGTACTGGGGTTTCAGGCAATACATCCAGCACGCCACACAAACCAAAAACTCTGGGCCATCACCGCCTGAAACGCGGGATTCCCGAAGACGGTGGCCGTTGACCTCCCAGACTCCCGACTCGACAGGGTCGTCCTGGGACGGGCGGGCTCGCGAAAAACTCGAAATTGAGCCCCCCGACATTTGGCCAGAGTCGGGGGTCTCAAAATGGGGCCCTGGGGTCCCCACCTGGCCAGCAGGGCCCGAGGGGGCTCGCGGAGGCGAGGCGGCGGCCGCAGCAGCAGGGGAGGCCCCTGAGGAAGGAGGGGGAGGGGGCTGCGACACAGCCGACGGGGGCGGGCTCAGAGCGCCCGCGGCCGAGGGCGCTGCCCGCTCCGCCTTCTCTGCGCGGCGGCGCTGGACCCCGCGAAGCAAGGCCGCCGACGCGCTCGACGCGTCAGCGGCTGGCTCACTGGGCCCGACGGGCCCCACGCCTGCCTCCTTCCTCTTGCGGACCTTCGTGTCGACCTGGTCCTGGGCCTGGGCTCCCTGGCTGGCCGCCGCTGCCGTCGCCAGCGCTGCTGCCGCCCCCAAGGCCGCCAATCCGCCAGGGCCACGGGCAGTCGACTCCTCGGCCTCCAGCAGCTGCTCCAGGGCGGGCGACGGAGCGAAGGGGTCCAGGTCCACGAGGTCCAGGGAGGTGAGCGGCCAGGAATCCCTGAGCCCCGACTCGGTGATGTGCACCTCGAGGGCCGCCGCGCACCTGGCCACCTCCTTCGCCCGAGCTAGGCAGCCCTCCAGCATCAGGGCGTCCTGCTCCGCGATGGCGTGGAATGCCGCTCCTTCCTTTGCCCTGGTGTCGGCGCGCCTGTTGCCCGCGAGCTCGAAGAGGGTGAGCTCCCCGTCCTGCACCGCGGCCTCGGTGCGGTGGGCGGGCACGTGGCGCATGGTGACGCCCTCCGCTGCATCGCCCACCCTGGCCCACACGTGGGCGTGCAGGGAGCTGGGGCCGCAAGCCTTGGTCAGGTTGGAAGCAGCCTTCACCGTGCTCAAGCAGTCGCTGAGCAGCGTGTAGTTCCCGATGGTGTCGGCGAGGCCGATGGCGGCAGCGAAGTCCTCTCCCGCCTTGGCCGTCTGCGACGGGAGGTCGCTGGGGGGCACGGCGCCCCACGCCTCGGCGATGAGCCTCCCCTCGGGCCCGTAACCGATGACGGCCCAGCCGGCGCTCCTGACGCGCGGGAAGTCCCCGTTCAGGCACGAGCCGTCGGTGAAGACAAAGGACCCGTCGGGCACCACCAAGATGCCGTCCCCCCACCCGCAGGATCGCCGCGCCCAGCTGTCATCCCAGGCAGGCCTGGCCACTAGGAGGCTGATGTCGGCTAAGAGCCCCTGACTGAAGAGCTCGTCGAAGGGGGGGCCCATGCGGTGGGCCTGCTCCGCTGCCTGACTCACCTGGCACGGGCAGTAGTCCCGCCTCCAGGCCGCCCAGGCTGGGCACAGGTGGTGCCTGTGGTGCATCGTCCCAGGGGCGGCGCCGCAGAGCCTGCAAAGCGGGTCGATCTCTCGCCCATGCCTCGCCAGTCGGGCCTGGGGCCAGCTGGCCAGCGACGCCAAGCGTCTCAAGCAGCCTTTGTGGTGAGCCGTCCAGGTTTCCGACTCCTTGGCGCCGAGGAGCTGGTTGATCGGCGTCCACCACGGCGGCAGCCGCCGCTGCCAGAAGGTCTCGGGCCTGCTGACGTACTCCTCGAGCGACGCCGCCTGACGCGTGTCCTCCTTGGCCCTGGCGGCGAGGAAGGCGGGCGAGAACCTCTTGACATCGAACTCGCTGCCCCCCCTGTCGGTCAGGACGCGCCCGCCAGCTCTGAGGCCCCAGCCGACCCGCCCTAGCGTGAGCACCAGCGCCGAGACGGGGTCGCGCACCGCGGCCAACGGCCTCTGCAGCGAGGCCAGACGGCTGCTGTCCCTGAGGCAGGCCTGCACGGCGGCAGGAGAGGCCTGGCCGGACCAGCTCATGGCCACGAAGGCCTGGACAGCCAGGCCCGTCGCAATCACCAGAGGATCCTGCCTCCAGCCCTGGGGTGCGCACTGCAAGCAGAAGGTCAGCGCCGCGCCCGTCGGCAGGTTGCAGGCGGCTTTCGCCGCAGATATCCTGAGCGCCCTCATGCGCCCAGGCGGGATCCCGTTGATGGCCGAGCCCCACAGGGCCTTGGCAGTGGGGCCTGCCCTCTGGATCTTGGCCTGCCTCATCCCCGAGCCGAAGATCCTGGTGAGGTTGTTGCCCTGCCGCAGCGCCGCCAGCTCCCTGGCCACCTGCGTCCCGACCCTGCGGCGGCTGCCCGCCGTCGCGTCGCCTCCAAGGTCGCGGTGGCCAGCGACGAAGGCTTCGTCGGCGAGGACCCAGTCGGCGTGCTGCTGCAGCTCTCTCCTCAGCTTCACCGAGGAGGCCAGTGCCTTGGTCTTTCCCCAGTTGATGGGGAGCCGTTTGTCGCCCAGCATGGTGGCGACGCCCTTCGCGAACCTGGCGATCTGCTCGACGACCAGCCTGCGCGTGCCGATGCCGTGGCCCGAGATGTCGTCAATCACGTTGACCACCCTGCCAATTGGCAGCAGCTTCCTCGACTGCAGCAGGAGGTCGTACAGCATGATCCTCGCCATGGTCGTCGCACAGGAGCATCCAGCAATGACGGTGTCGTCGATGACCAGCTGCTCGCTGAGGGCTAGGTCGGCCCTGGCCCTGCGGGGGCCCGAATACAGCACGCGCAGCGCCTGGATCAACCCAGTGTTGAAATCGCAGCCCCGCGCCGCTTCGAGGAGCAGCCCGTGGCTGATCTGCTCGTAGAACTTGCTGATGTCGAAGTAGACCGACGCAGCCTCGAAGTTCTTCTCGCGCGCCAGGCCGAGCAGGAGGTTGTGGATGTAGGCCGCCCTGTCGCAGCAGGTGTCCGAGTCTGCCCCCCAGTATTCGGGGGGCTTGTGGTCCCGCTCCCAGCCCGCGCAGTACTTGCGCCTGATGCGGCTCCAGATGCGCAGCCACATGCAGAGGAGCCCGATCGGGCGGCGGCCCCCGTCGGGCTTCCCCAAGAAGACGATGATCGTGGTGAAAAGCTCCGACGGCTGGGGGTGCCGTTCCCAGGCTGTCAAGATCTCAGCCAGCCTGTCCGCGTACACCCTGCCTAAGCTGAGGATGAGCCTGGGGTGGAAGGCGTCCCATCCCAGAGCCGTCTTCCTGGGAAAGGTCTTAGCCGCTGCCAGCACATCCTCCGCCGCGATGGCGTCCAGACCCAAGGGCTCGTCCCAGTTCTCGGGGCGGACGCTGGCGGAGCCCTCCTTGTGCCAGAGCGCCTTCCACTCCTGAAGGATCCTGTCCAGGGCCTGCTGTCCGACCAGCGGGACTGGGGGGCCTCGCCCTCGCCAGGGCCGAGGATGGAGCAGGTCTCGAGGTTGGCCTGCTTGCTGATCGCGTGGGCGCCCTTGCCGTTCCCACTGAGGGCCTCGGCCATGAACTCCTTCCAGCGCTGCCTGGCGAGCTTCACGTCCTCCCTGCGCTTGACCTCAGAGGCGGCGCCGGTGGCCTGGAGGAAGATGCCGCCCTGCTGCGACCTGTCCGAGATCTCCGCCAGCATCGCCGCCATCTTGGCGCCGCCGAACATCTCGCAGCCCTCTGCCTCGAACTTGGGGACCAAGCCTAGGGCGGCCTCCTGCAGACGCTTGACGTGCTTGTGGTGCCCAGGCGAGGGGTGGGGCACCGACGCCGCGGCCGCCAGCTGAGTGGCCAGGCGCCCCAAGGTGATCCAGCAGCGCGTTAGCGGGCTGGTCCTGCGCACCTCCTCCGAGCGCAGGAGGTGAATGAGCTGCTTGGGTACCCTCTTAAGCCCCTGCGCCCTGCCTGTACTTGGCGCCGCCCTTGATGCCGAAGAGGTGAATCAGGCGATCCTCAGCCTGGTCGAAGAACTCAATGATCGCCTTGTTTGGGCTCCCACTCTCGTCCAGGAGCGGCGCCTTCCAGTCCGTCAGCGAGTCCTCCTCCTCTGGCTCAGGCTGGATCCCCTCCTGCTTGGCCGCAGGCAGCTCGAAAGGCTTGGGGCCCTTCTGCACCCAGACACCTGCCTGGCTGCTCAGCTTCTCGAAAGTGAGCCTGACGGGGGCGCGCGGGCGCGTAGTCGCCTGCCTGAGCACCGACACCTTCGGCCCTAGCCCCGCCAGGACGTCCGAGATCACGAAGAAGTCGCATGTGCTATCTCCGCAGGTCGGCTCGACAGGCGCCACTATCACCGCCCCCACCGCGCGTGGCCACCACGAGCTGCTGAGGAGGCTGGGCTCCAAGTTCCAGTCCGCCCCCACTACGAAGGGCTCCCGCAAGCCCAGGAGGAAACCCTGCAGCTCACTCAAGAGGTCCACGTTGGCCTCATTGAGCTTGACCGAGCACTGCAGGCACAGGCTGACGCACACCACGACCAGGTCCCCGAAGGCGACGCGCCTCGCCACGACCCTTGAGGCGTGCTGGCCCCAGACCTGGTCGATCGAGGCCACTCCGCGGTGCTCACCGACCAGCACGGCGACCCCCGAAGAGACGGCTTGGACCGCCGTCCCTGTGCTGCGGTACTCTCCGAAGGCCGCGTTGATGCCGTTCCGCTTGCACCAGGCACGGGCCGAGCCTTCAGCAAGCGCCGAGGTGAAGCGGGTCTCCTGGATGAGGTACACGTCGTCCCTGACCTTCTCGTCCAGCAGCTGCTCGAGGGCCGTCTGGGACTCGGCCCAAGTGGAGCCGTTGATGCTGAGGAAGCTGGCGCCCTGCTGCGCCGAAGGCCGCACCAGCTTGGCCAGCTGGAGCCAGGCGGCCGCGGCGGGCACCGCCGCGCCTGCCGCCTCAGCCCTGGGCTGGGGGCGGCGCTTCGCCGTGCAGACGAGGTCCAAGGGGGGACTCACGCCCGAGCCTGTAGCCACGCCATCCTGAAAGAGCAACCCACTATTACCTATGGGCCCTCGGCTGGACTGCGGACCGCCAGTCCCTTGGCCACTCTGCTCCTCCAGGCTCCCGTTGGGCCTGGGGTCAAAGGTGCCGCGGCCGCTTGCCTGCAGCCCAGAGCGCGTCCAAGGCGTCGCGCAGCTTGCGCTTGGCCTCATCTCGCTGCTCGGGGGTCGCTTCACGGAGTGCTGCTGAGGCTGCGGCGTACTCCTCGTGCTTCTCCTCCCAGCCTTCTCCTCCCAGCAGCTCCATGTCGATGTCGTCTGATTCTGGCACTGGTTTGTGCTCGCCGCCTGCGTCTGCCTCCCCAGCAGCAGGACCAGGAGGAGCAGCAGCGGCCCTGGCAGCGGCAGCTGCCTTCTTGCTGACGCTGGCTGCGGTCTGCAAGCGGGCCAGGACCGCGAGGGCGTCCTTGGCCTCCTGGCTGGCGGCGACGTCCTCGTCCAGTCCAGCTGCGACTGCCAGAATCGGGTCGGGGAACTCGCTGGCCTGCAGCTTGACCAGCTTGGCCTCCCCCTCGGAGAGCTTCTGGTTCTCGTCACCGAGCGAAGCCCTGAGCTCCTGGAGCTCCTTGTCGAGTGCGGCCTGCTGCTCCAAGATGGCTGCCTCGCGGGATTCAAGCTTCTTGATCTTGTCGCGCATGGCCTTGACCCTCCAGCGCTGCGTCTGAGCAGTAGGCTGTTTGCTCTCAAGCGTCTTCGACTCCGCAGCCTTCTCTGCCTCCTCCACCGCGCTGGTGTCGAGCCCCTCCTTCGCCAAGAAGGTGCGCACGTCCTTGAAGGAGATGCCAGCACTCGCCTCGGCCGACTTCCTGGGCGGGGGCTTGCGCCCCTTCCAGGGCTCCGTCGGGGGCGGGGCCTCGCCCTTGAGCTCTGCCACCTGCTTCTGCAACTGCTGCAGCTGCGCCAGAAGCTGTCCCTGTCCTGGCGGGCCCTGCGCCCAGGCCCCGCGCGGGCGAGACGTGCTGGGTGCTGGCCCGTTGGCTGCTGCTGCCGAGAGCTTGGCTGCCTGCACCACGTGGGTGGGAGCCGCCTTCCAGCACTGGCGGCAGCGCGTCCTGGACGCCCAGTTGCCATCACAGCCGCAGGAGCAAGACCAGAGGGGTGTCTTCCGCGCGCCTGGGATGATGCCAGGGTCCGATTGTGACGGCGCCATGGCCCACGGGCTGCCGCGGGTGGGGCCGTCGTCTTGAAGGTTGGCTCGTGCCCACTACGCCGCTTCGAAGTAAGTGGGCACAAACGCGAGCTGTCTCCAGCTCAAGAATCCCAGCTCGCGCCGAAACGGCTTGAGCCAAAATGGCTACGGTCATGGTGAGGGCATTGGATAAGGAACCAGTGGATAAGGAATCCAGGGTCTGGAGGCCGGTGGAACTCCCATCGAGGCTTGGCCACGGAGAGCACCGCCGCCGTCATCGGATAATGGGATCCTCCCGGGCCCGCGGCCTCCGGGGCGCAGCCCTTCGCCGAAGCCCCCAGGGAGGCCACCCGGGAGGCCACCCGGGAGACCCTGCTGGAGACCGCTCCAGGGAGAGAGAACCGGCGGGACACCATGCGGGAGCCCACGGGCCACCGGCCACCGATTCCGGATCCGGGGGAGCACACGCGTGCCTCATATGGTATGCAGAAGCATCGGTCGGAAGAGTGAGGCAGAAACATGAAGAGTAGGAAGGCGTTGGAAAGCAGATCGGGTGTCCGCCCCCCCCCCCCTCAAAGAGGACGGAAAAAGTGAGGCCCCTCGATCATTGAAGTAGGAAGGCGCGCTTAAAGTAGGCTGGAACCTGGGACTCCCAAAAAACCAACTTTCAACGACCGATGGGTAATCCAGGTGTGTGTGTGGGCGGGCAACAGTGTTCCACGCCGGCGCGGTGCGCAAGGGCGCGAGTGAAGAGCACGAGGGTCTGGGTCCCCGTCGGGCCCCGAGGTCTGACCGAGATCGACGCGCTCCTCCACCGCGCCGACCGCAGCATTCGAATGCAATTGAAACCGACCGAAATTCCGACCAGCGCCAGTACCCCCCCCCCACCCACACCCACACACACACACACACACACACGCACACACACTCACACACACACACACACTTCACAGGACCCTTACTGGCATGTTTTTTAGTGTACGTGTAAAAAGACGGCCCTAGCAGACAAACTGTTCAGGATCAGAATCAGAGGACTCTGCTGGCTACCCCAGCGGTCCTCCTCCTCCACCTCCTCGGGCCCCTTCTTCCTCCTTTGCTTCATCCCAGTCGCACTAGACCGACCGCCGGCTCGGCCGAAAACCAGTTCAATACAAACACTAACACACACATACACACACACACACACACACACACACACACACACACGCACGCACGCACGCACGCGCGCATATTAACGCACACGCATGCACACACATACACATACGAACACACACACACAATTACACACACATGCAAACTCACACATACACACAAAAACAGACACACATGCAAACTCACACATACATGCACATACATATATAAGTACATTCTCGGAATACACACGCACACTTGTGTTTGGCGTCGTGGCCACGCGCGCGGCGGCGCGGCGCAGGCAGCAGAGCAGGAGAACGAGCGCGGCACACACAGACACGCGCAAACACGCGCGCACACACACACACACTCAGACACACACACACACATTCCCACTCACACACTCGCACACATACTCACACACTCACACACTTTCACACACACACACACACACACACGTATACGCACACACACACACACACTAACATACACACACACACACTCTCACACACATACCGTACTCTCTCGCGCAGCACTCGGCCGCGCTCCAGGACGCTGACCACGTTCGCGTAGCACAGGCCGCTGGCGCCCAGAACGAAGCGCTGCTTTGCCTCCCTCCCACGCCATCCCCTCCTCTCACCTCCCAGCATTCGGACGGATCGTTCTGTTCAATCCAGCCTCATGATCCCCCTACTGGAGATGCCGCAGAAGTCCAGTTGGAAGCTCACTGGAGCGTCGAGCCGCTGAGCTCCAGCCGTACTTGCTCCAACAAAGCGCAGCGTCGGTCGGGAGAGGCCCTAGGTCCAACTGGCCTCCCACCAGTTGAAGCCGCCAAGCTCCAACCAGAGTTACTCCAACCAGGCTTAGCATCGCCCGACCCTTGCTCCCGCCAAAGACACCCGCTGCCTTGACAAAAATCAAGACGGCTGGCGTCCCCCGATGGTGTGGGGGCCTCTGGGGGCCTGCCGCCATGCTTGTGGGTCTTCAGCGCCGATGTCGTTTCCAGCTTCCCGGCATCCTGCAGCCGCTTTCGGGCCACGATCCTTTTTGCTTGTTTGTGCATATTAACCACGACGCGACGATAGCATGCACAACAGCACTGGACTCCTGTTCTGCCTGGCCCCGATGAGGAGGGCCAGAAATATCGTGCTGAACGGTATTACTATGCACGGAGAGCGAGCCTCGGAGCCTTCGGGCTGCGAGCATGTCAGACAACACAGCCGCAGGAGACGGGTCCAGAGGTCTGCTGGCCGAGTGCCGAAACGTGGTGCGTCGGAGGCCTGCCTCTCTCTCGCTGTCCCTCCTGTCCTCCCTACTCCCCCAGGAGAACGCCGGCCTTCCACGCACACATACACACAAACCCTGGCGAGGCCCACGCCTTGCCCCCAGGCCGGTGTGTGGCCATCGTGCTGCCACGGGAAGCGCGGAATGAGGGACGACGGGGATGTGGTCACCGCGAGCCTCGGCCACAAACAGGCTCCCTCTGATCGAACTCTCGGGAGCGGCCTGAAAGTCACAGCCCCTCCTGGGCCCAAGGTGGTCTTTGTTTCAGCGCCTCGACTCTGTACACCATCCTGTCTCGGACAAGAAAATATACACCAGTCCACAGTCTGAGATCGCACTGACCATCATCGCGGTCGGTGTCGCCCCATCCCTATTCCCCCCCTCTCCTCTCTTCCTCCCGCCCTCCCCCACCCAATCCCTCGCCCCTTCCCAGACACCCGACGGTATGTGTTGGTTTCACTCCGCAGCTTCAGAAGTCTCGACCTCTTCCTTGGGGTATTCTCTTTTCGATCCAGACCCACTTTGGAAGGTCCCTGGAACCCAAGAGCGGCCCCCAGAGGCCGAAACGAAGAAAACCCCCCAAAAATGCGGATTGAACAGATCAGTCCTTCGGACGTCTGGGTGCTTCCTCCTCCTCCTCCTCCTTTCTCTCCCCCTCCTGCCTCCTTCGTGAGAAGCATGGTGGTCTCCATGCCGAGCTGGGCACTGGTCGGCGTCGCCGATCCCTCCCCCTCCTTTCGCTCGTCCTTCCTCCATGACAGAGGGGGAATGAAGGCTAGCATTAGGTCGGGCATGTCCCCCCCTACGTGCGGACTTCGGATGAAAAAATTAAATTACTCAAAAATCCAAGAAAAGGGTCGAAAGTAGTCGGAAAATCGTCAGCATATT